GTTTGCAAACAGCTTATCCAAGCGCCTGATTCCTCGATTTTGGGTCGACGACGTGCTGTGCACATACAGAACAGACATCCCAATGTTCCCAAGGACAGGTTCTCACGGCCCGGCAGCTGTGATGCTGTTGTCGAGCCACTCCCTCCAGCTTTGTGCGAATGGAGGTGCTCAGAGTGCCATCAAGGCATTCGCAAGGGCCCACTGTCTTCTAGAGCGGCGAGATATGTGGTAGCTCTGCGACATCTGCAAGCCTGTTGGGGACCGAAGAAAACCATCAAGCAGAATAGGGCTCGCCTCGACAAGCAAACCCATAAGCAGGGTGATCCTGGAGGCACTAGCAACTTGAGCAAAAGAAGGGTGGTGAAGCAGCTTGCGGCGGAGATGAGTGAGACATCGCCGGAGGCCCATAAGATCCAATCTTTCGTTCATCCTCGTGACGCGGCGCCCAAATCATGGAGCTGTTGGGCGTGTAAGACCTGCGCCAAGACGTGGAACTTTCACCACAAAAGCTTGTACCACCGATGTCCAGGTCAGCAGCGGCGTGGCTACAACCTTGCTCGCAGGCAGAAGTGGTGGAAGATGTTGAAGCGTAAATTCGCTCACAGAATTTCGAGTTTCGCTCAGGGCCTAGCCATGACCCCGGAGGAAATCCAAAGTGTGGATTGCCACAAGCGGCCCAAGCCCAAGCCGCGCCGGCCTTTGACTAAACGTAATGCCCGGAAGCCCTGAACGTGAGATCAGCATTATGTGGCTCAATGCTGGCGGTCTGGCCGGCACATACCGAGCCCTCCAGTTGTTGCGGGAAAGCACTTTACGCAACCGGCCTCATGTGCTTGGCATCTGTGAAATCAAAGCAGCTCCGCAAGAGCGCGTGGGGCTCATACAGCAGTTGCAAGTTCTGGGATATCGCGCCTGGGCTTTCGGAGAGGACCCCAGAGTCTCCAAACGAGATGTGGAGTATTCCGTTGGTGGGATAGTTGCCGCTGTGAGAGAGGACATGAGAGCGACATGTGAGGAACACTTGATTCATGGCTCTGGTGAAGCAATACTCATAAACATGTTTTCTTGTCACATAGGGTTCCTGTGGAGGCGGCCGCATGTGGATCACACAGCCATCGATGATCTTTTGCATGGGTGGCACCTCACAGCAACAGCTTCCAATCTGCCTTGTTGTCTTTTAGGTGATTGGAACGATATCCCAGAAGACGCTCCGCTGTGCCAGGCAGGAGCTGAGTGTATCGCTGTTCGTGACTGTGATCTCTCGCTGGTGCCATCCAGATGGCAGGGCGAAAGATGTATTGATTATGGATTGCTCAACACGGGTTGTCATGACATGAAGATCAATTATGATGAGGCCGAAATCTCGGATCACAAGGTGGTCTGGCTTTCGGGCAACTGGGGGGTGCATGAGGCCGGTGCCCTTCGCATGAAACCCACCAGATGCTGCGACAAGCCTGCAAATGTGGACACACAGCTATGGCGACAAGCTGTAGCCAAAGAGTTTGCAAGGCTTGCCACCGCGTGGACCCCTTCCGCGGCCAGCAGTCCGGATGAAGAGTGGCTCGAGCTCAATGGCATTGCAGAGGAGGCCTGCGTTCGGGCTGCTGAACGGCTTGGCTATCCTGTTCTGGCCCCTGGCTGCCGGCCGAAAGGTTCAGTGCCTTACACTGACGCTGGCATGACTAAGGGTGCGAACTGGCGCGACGACTCTTTCCGTCTGCGACAAGTGGAAAACTTCATCGGCAGGCTTCGGGAAGCCCTGAGACAGCAGCAGCGCGGTCACATTGAGCACGCCCTGCAGCGGAGACTTGCAAACACTTGGCCTTCCGGCATCGCGAGATGCCCCTACGATGCCGCCTTGACTCAGGCTCGTGAGTTACAGGCCAAGTTGCGGCAAGAGCAGCGTACACAGATTATCCGTAAATGGAGGGATAGAATGCGAGATAATGGCAAAGCTCTCACGGCATGGCTTCGTAGCAAACGGTTTTTGCTCCCTTCTGCTGTTTCCTCGGGGCAAGGCAGGCATCGCAGAGTCTCTGCTTCTTTTCCGGAAGCAATCAACATGATTGAGAAATTCTGGAGGAAAGTCTGGGATCGACCTTTGAATTGCGAGGAGCTCAACAAGGCACGGGAGGGGCGGTTGACAGCTCCCTCCGGCGAGGCTTTCGATTCTCAGGCATGTCTCTCGGCCGAAGAATTGCAAATGCAAGCTCGACATGATGCTCATGGCACAGCAGGACCTGATGGGTGGACAGCGGCGGAAGTCTCTCATTTGCCCCTGGCATACTGGAGCGAGTTTTCAACTATGCTTGCACGTTGGATGCAAATCAACCGTTTCCCGCAAGTGTTTCGTCATTGTAGAATGATTATGATCCCGAAAGATGGTTTTGAGCTCACCTCGGGCCCTATACCTGTCGACAAGATGCGGCCAATTTCTGTTTTTCCGGTGCATTACAGAATTTGCAGTTCGGCTTTTGCAAGAAGATCATCCACGAGAGCATGGCTCCAGGGGCGTATCCCGGATTGCACTCACGGAGCAGTCCAAGGGCGCTCCGCTGCTGCGGCGATCGCAGCGTTGGAGGCTTCTTTCCATGGCAGTGACACGAGCATTTTGATTAGCCTTGATCAGCAACAGTGTTTTGACAGGGTGGCACCCGAGCTGGCCCTGACCCACTTGACACACGCAGGTTTCCCGAACTTGTGGGCCAACCTACTGGCTTGGGTCTGGAAAGACCAGAAAAGATGGATCCAGATCGGGCGCCATACTGCGCAAAGGCCCGCTTCAGTGAGCAGCTCACTGCCACAAGGTTGTGCATGTGCGCCCCTGGCTCTGGTCAACTTGCTCGTCGAGGCGACGAATGATGTTCAGACCTTGCACACTATTTGTGATCCAGTGTCCCAAACCACGTTCCTGGATGATCGCAATGCGGTCACGCAGTCGCCGCAGCAGGCCAAGAGATATTTGGATCGCTGGGAACACTGGTGCAACAAATTGGGCCTCCTAGAGAACAGGAGCAAGTTAAAGGTTGTGTGTCGACGTCGATGCGACGAGCTGCAGCTCTTGGCGTTGCGTGTTGCCAAAGATGCGCTTGTGAACTGCGCCAAGGTCCTGGGCGTCGAATTTTCTACAGATGCCGATGTTCTGCCTGCTGAAGCAGCTCGAGTGGCAGCTGGCCTCGCTATGACGCGGCGGTTGGCAGTGATTTCCGGTCGCCCGGCATTCAAGGAGGATGTGTATAGATCCAGGGTGGTGCCTTTTCTGAACTGGAGGCCATGGTGGGGCAGTCTGCCCCAGGATCTGGGAAGCAAGTTCGTCACTCAACTCCGCTTCTGTTTTGGCGTCGCCCGCAGCGCCTCCAGATCCTTATGGCTTTTGCTTTCTGGCGCGGCCTTCGATCCATCGATTACGGCTGATATTTTCAGTGTGCAGTCTTTTGCTCGTGCCTTCGCCTACTGGCACGACCGCGGCGTAATCTTGAAGCCCAGCAGATGGAAGCGATGCGTCGATAAGCTCATGTTGGAGACAGGTTTTCGAGAAACTCAACCAGGAAGCTGGAGGAGTGGAAACACGACCCTTCGCTGGTTTGGGCCGGGTGCAAAGAATGACATTGGCAAGCTTGCGCATTTGATGAGAGAACGCTGGCGGCAGCGGCAATTTCAGCGGTTTTGTGAACACAAGCGGCGGGAGGCTGTGGAAGTCCGCCTGACCGCAGGAGCCACTGTATATGATGAAGGGGTCGTGGCTAAAGCCCGGCTCTTGTTCAGGAATGCCACTGCTGAAGAAAGGGGTGTCATGCTTGGCGCTTCGTTCTCTCCAGCGGCATACGACAAAGTCCATCGCCGGGCGGCGTCGTCGGACCCGGTGCTTCTGCGCGAGTGCCCATGGTGCAAAGGCAATCTGATACCTGATTGGCAACATGTTTCTTGGCAGTGCGAAGGTTTCCAGGAAAACCGTCCAGCCATGCCAGAGTCTATTTGGGCTCTTCGCTTTGGATGGCCCAATGATGCCAATGAGAATATGGACGCATGCAAGCATCGACTTGCGTTTCTGGGTGAAGTCAGGGCCACCGTGCGTGCACGCTGTGGCTTCTGACGGCCTTTGAGGTCCCTCCTTTTCTTCAAGTCTGCGGTGCGTTTTGGTCCTTGAGGCCAACCGTACATCAACACAAACTGGTCATGATTTTCCAATATTCCGCGTGCTTCGGCACGGATCCCCGTCTGCTCATTTTAATCATTTCCGAGAGTATTTTTGTAGCCGCATAGAAGTCAGTAGTGCAAGATTTCACACCTTTGTTCTAGCATGGAAAGTTGGAGCACACCCCGTGCAGCCTTGCGCTTAAGAGTGATTTTGTGCGTGTGTGTGTGTGTGCATGTGTTAAGAACTTGCAAAAAAGTGCTTGAGCTTAGGGCCCATACCTTGCTTGATGCTCCACACGGATCACACGTGGGCTCCTGTCGTTACAAGTTTGCCGCGTGTGAGGAACTCGCAATGAACAATCAGTTGGCTACGCATTTTCGGACGTACTTCCAGATGGATGCAGGCGCATGCGGTTTTGGTAGGTGTTAATTTGGAATCCGCTTCTCGAGGCGCGTGGATATAGACTCGAATGTCGAAACCCGGGCGACAGGTGATGCCAGCGCCCTGGCGGGTGCTTTCGGCCTGATGAACCTGTTCGCAAGATCATTGGGAGGCCGTGTTTTGAACTCAAGTCATGAGCGACTGTTAAGTTTGTGCTGTTGTTTTCAGGCATTAGCAGCGATATTTGCTTCAAGTACTTTGGCTTCCGCGGCCGCATCTCGGACCCATTTGGTCACATGTTAGGGATCGGTTTTTTGAGTGCAGAAGCGGAAGCTGCGGTCTTTCGCGAGACGAGGCATTTGGGCTCAATTCCTGGCACTCTTCTTCGAAGCCATCTTCTTGTTCAGTTTCGGAAAGGCCTGACCCGAGACAAAACTTGGGCGCTTTTCCTGCCAGCAAGCAGATGATGATGATGACGGTGATGGTGGTGGTGCTGATGATTCAGGTGGACAATTCGCAGCCTTGGTACGTGGCCTTGGCAGTCTTGGTTTGCTTCTCGCTCTTTGTGCAGATGGCTGAGGCGGGCCCCGCTCAACAAACCTTGAGGTATGCTGTTAGCAGGATAACTTTCGTGGGAATAGCCTTGCCGACGAGCCTCGGAGGGCACCTCCTACGGCATCGTGCCCTTTATGAACCGGAAACTTGGATCAGTGCATGCATCATGGCATCAACTCGTCTATGTAGGAGGTTTCGACATGCACACGTAAGGAAGCAACTCGCAGTGGTGTCCGCGCTTGTGGGTGCCGGTGGAAACCTCGGCGCAGTGCCACCCGGCGGCAGGCAGTCTTGAAACGGAACGGAATGATTCCGAGAGACAGATGATTTTGTTGTCTCCCAGATGAGGCTTTCCCTGTCTCTCAGGAGGATTGATTGTTCAAGTCTGCCATGTAGAATCGCGTCTCCCCAAATTAATTACAAGACTGATAATACTGGGTCAGGGTGATCAAGAGTATAGAGTGTCAGCAGTACCGAGCTGGAGCCCAGGATTGCAGGCTTCTGCTTCTACAAGCCGATCCAGGATGCCCTGCTGCCTTTCCAGGCATGGTCGAAGTTCAAGACCGATGTTTGTCTTGGGGTTTGTGGTTGCTTGAGGGTCGCCGGTAAATTTTGAACGTCCATGTCAATGGCGGAAGCGGCGTCGTACCACACATCGTCACTTGTGCCTATAGTGCAGCCGCGAAGTTGGCGTTCAGTTCCATGTACATGTGTCATGCCCTCTTCTGTTCGTGGACAATGTTCAACCTCGACGCCCAGCGTTGCTTTAGCAATCGCGGGACCCGCATCATGGTAGCCAGGCAGGCTTGTGAATCGTTACAGAGGGCCCTTAGGCTGGGCTCCTGCGTTGGACAGGTCCATGCGGGCTATGTTATGTTTTGGGCGCTGCTGAGCCCCTGCTACTACTGGTCCGAGATGGGTGGGATGTTCCATGGACCGGCACAGAGCGTCGAGAAGGCCAAGGGCTTCAAGACCATAGCGGATCCTTCGGTTCTTTTTCGAGTTGAGACTGGCTTGGAGCTTCATCATCGTGGGTGTTTAAGGGCTACTACGAGGGATCTATAAGGGTTCTATAGTGTAGGGGGCTTAATAATGATCGTGGGTTCAGGGCATGTGGAGATTCCGCATCATTTTCTTTCGGCAAGCCGGGAGGGCAGGGACACACGGGAACCAAACAGTTGGGAGACGTAGGGATGTGGGCTGTCAGGGTTGAGTGGTTGAGTGGGCAGTGATTCAGTGGCAGCTGGAAGTCTGAGCTTTGCAGGGCAAGACCGGCGACTACGAGTCTCATGCGGTGTCCGAGGCCACCACTGCAGCCACCACTGAGACGAGCGTGTGAACTTTACAGGAGGCAGTTTGACCTTCGAGGTGAAAAACATTATGCTAATTCGATTTCTCGAGCCAGTTTTGTGTATTCGGCCGGTGCCTTGGCATGGAGTGCAATGCACCGGTGAGTTCAGACAAGCCCGCCACTTGGCAACAGCCGTGCGCCGGGCCTGCCATCTCTGCATAGTGAGTGCCAAGCACATGACTTGGTGCGACCAGCAAACAGACACGGAAAATCTTCAGATGCGACCTTAGGACTAGCTAAAGCTAAGGGAACCCGCCATTCGAAATATTCTGGGTCTCCAGCCCTCTGTCACAAATTGGTGCAGTCACCGACAAGTTCTACTGAGGTGCGCCTTGCTCTTGTTATTTGATGTGTTCCTACCAAATCCAAGCCAGAATGCAATCTTTCTGCCTTGGCTGCAGCTGCCCGAAGCTGCTTTTCCTGCTATGCTTGGCCTTTGGAAGAACCCGGCTTCTAGGGCTTTTGTTTTGGAGCTCAGAACGTGTAATTCAGGGTACGGCCAAAATGGCACTGTAATCCTGCAAGACTCCAATAGAAGCACGATCATGCCATCATGCCATGATACTGCGATACCGCAATACCACAATGCTGTCATGCTACGGGAGGGGACAATTACTTGGAGGGTCGGGGGTTATTTTCGGGACTTATAAGTACCATAACCCCAATTAGGGTCCCCTTTTAGGGTACTTATAAGTCTACTTACTAACTACCTACTAAGTCCCCCGACCCCCCAAGTACGGTACGATGATACTTCTGGCTGTGAAGGCCGAAGCCTCTAAGGTCGCCGGGCTGAGGGCCAGAAGGCTAAGGGGTACCCATACATACTTTCTAGTTTTTGGTTCCTTCAAAAATCCCTACGAAACTGCTAAAAACATGACTTTTGCTAGGGGTCTAAGTTCAGTATAGAAGGGACATAGGTCACATGGGCAGGTCGCAACTTCGACGATCCCAAGACCCAGCCCCAAGCTGCAGAACACAAACCCCTGTCCGAACGCTGAATCCAAAGCCCGACACTCGGAGGTCTCTTGGCATCCGCAATCCTCTTTGGCATTGCGTCGAATGCTTGCTGGGTACGGCCACGCTATGGGGTTTCGTTCAGGGTTGGGGTTTTGGGTTTTGGGTTATGGCTAAGCTTGGGTCGATGTCTGCTACCAGGATCCTGGGCGGCTTTCGGTTTGTAGGGTGTAAGAAAATCTACCGCACTCCAGACCCTGAAAACCTCAGGCCTGCAGCCTAAAACCCTAAACCTCCTAATTCTGGCCGTCGAAATGGCCCCAAAGCTTCATAGAGTACTTAGAGGATCATGGGACTTAGTAAGTAGGTTATAATTAGGGTTATAAGTCCCCTAAGTGGGGTTATCCTAATTATAACCTACTTATAACCTTACTTACTAAGTCCCATGAGCCTTTAAGTATGGTCTTTGGGCCCAAAAGCCTTAAGATATGAGCCCTTAGGCGATCGGGGAAGGCAGGTCTTTGGGTTCAGGGCTCGGGCTCTTGCGGGCTCCAGAGATTTTGGATTTTTTAGGGTGAAAGGTCATGGTTTAGGGGTTTAGGGTTTAGGGTTTGGGCGCTTAGAGGTTTAGGGCTTCTGGGGATTAGGTTTAGGGCTTTAGGGTTTTGGGAGTTACGTTTTAGAGCTGCTGTTTGGGCTGTTCTTGTTCCAGGGATGTCAAGGACATGCTTCTGGGACAGGGCTCGGTAGCTTCACTAGAATGGGTTTTAGGGGCCTTGAATGGTAGTTAGTTGACAGGAAACCAGAAAGAGCTACAACTAGTAGCTATTCCAACCCGTGTATTAAACTAACATCACTTTCGCAAAAAGAATCAGCACAAGTCATCATCAGCCCTGAACCCTAAACCCTCAACCCCTAAAACCCCTAAACCCTAAACCCTAAACCCCTAAACCCCTAAACCCCTAAACCCTAAACCCCTAAACCCCTAAACCCCTAAACCCTTAAACCCTAAACCCCTAAACCCTAAACCCTAAACCCTAAATCCCAAACCCGGAAGCCTTTCCAAAGGCACACTGCTCTCCAAACCCCGAATTAAACCCTGCACTTAAAGGCTCATGGGACTTAGTAAGTAAGGTTATAAGTAGGTTATAATTAGGATAACTCCACTTAGGGGACTTATAACCCCAATTATAACCTACTTACTAAGTCCCATGATCCTTCAAGCACCCTTGACACGAAGCAGTCACCCAACGCGGTGAACCCAGAGTTCTGTGGCTCAAAAAGAAGGGTTGCTTAGTAGTGGATATGGACGCACGCACTTCGCAATACTCCGGGCCAACAGAGCTCATAGCTTTCGGCTTCAGGGTCCGGCTTGGGTATAGGGTTTTAGGGTATAGGAATGCTCTAGGCACGCTTGGCGTCAGACAAAGCGCCGGCGCAGAAGCCTCTATGTGAAAGCTTCGAACTCTCGATCGTTTCGATGCTCATAACGAAGAAGTGTGGAATGGGATTTAGAGGCAAGGATTTGGTGACTCTGGGTACTTGGCAAGGTGCCTTTCGCATTACTTAGAACGTAACGGTGTGAGCCATGTCGGTTGCCTGCTTCGACCAGCGGGGGACTCGGGACTAGAGCATCTTGTGGTGTTCTGGAACCTTCCACCCTTTGTTCACCCTAAACCCTAAACCTTCGAACCCTAAACTCCTGTTCTGCGTCGTTTCTGACTTTAGCAGTGGCCGTCTCCGGTGTTGAGGCTCAACCGTCATTGACTTTCATATTACATTTTGATATAGTATACGTCACGACTGTATACTTGAATATATTATACTAGGACCCAGTATTCCTGCATGGGATGTGCTTTTCGAATACTTTTCAATATATTTCAATAGACTATAATACAGCATAGTGTACGACAGCATATTATGATATACCGTGGTCACCACAACATATCCATGATTTGTGTAATGACCCCACCACCTTGCATCGACTGCGTTTTGCCTTCAGGGCTCCAGAGCTTTAGCAGTTTAGGGGAATAGGAGTTTTGGGTTTTAGGGGCATAGTCCTTCTTTCTTAATCCTAGATGCCAGAGCTTTCATTCGACCGAGACCTGCTTGCAGGGAGCCTCGCCCAAAGGTTTAAGGCATCAGTGTGTCAGGATGTGGGTGTTAAGGCTTGTGTAGCGGTTTGATGCATTGAATACTTTAGCGACTTGCGACAAGGATCATCTAAAATAAGTCTGAGCCCTCGCACATGTCGTTAGAACCTGCGAAGCTCCCTGCCGGAAATTACGAAGCTACAAAGTCTAGTGCCCAAGAACGGTGCAAACGTTAACTTATGAGCTTATGCTTCATTCGTCGGCAAAACAAGCCCAAACCTTTACAATCTCTCCCGAGCACCACCCGCTGCCCAGCTTTGCTGCGGTAACAAGCCTGAATGATTTTTGATAGCTTCCCTTTCCCAACTCTAAACCCTAAAACCCTAAACCCCACACCCTAAAACCCTGAAGCCCTAAAACCCTAAACCCCACCCCCTAAAACCCTAAACCCTAAAACCCTAAAGCCCTAAAGCCCTAAACCTTATAAACCCTAAACCCCTAAAACCCTAAACCTTATAAACCCTAAAACCCTAAAACCCTAAAGCCCTAAACCTTACAAATGCTAAAACCCGAAACAGGCTCGAAGGAATTCTGGAGTTTGCGAATCCATTTCGGGTGCCGAGCCCGGCGTACCGATTCGGGGGGCTCTTGGGATTTGGGGTTTAGGGTGTAGGGGTTTAGGGGTTTAGGGGTTTAGGGGTTTAGGGGTTTAGGGGTTTAGGAGTTTAGGGGTTTAGGGGTTTACGAAATTTAAAAGTGTTCCACAGGGCTGGGTTTGGGGTTCGAAGTTTCAGGATCCCAAACCCCAAACCGTTTATAGGATATTGGAGTTTCAAAGCCACCTAAGCCAGATCTGCGGGCGCACTAGCATGTGCCTCCTTACTTGGAGGTTCATGGGACTTAGTAAGTACAGTTATAAGTACCTTAACTGGGGATATAACCAATTTTCAGTATAGTTACCTTATTTATAATCCTAGTTACTAAGTACCATGAACCTCTAAGTAGACCCTAAACCCTATAGATCCCAATAAGGAACCCTATAGATCCCTTTAAGGAGCCCTTTAAGGAGCCCTAGTTACTAAGTACCATGAACCTCTAAGTACCTACCTCTGTCTCAGCCCCCAGCTTCACACCTCCCCACCTCCCTCCCTATCTAGGTGTACCCACTACCTAGACCCCCAAAAGTTTGTAAGATAATGGCCCAAAACCTATAAAAGGCTGTTATTCTACATACTTTTGGGGTCCAGGTATGTATTTCCCCGCCAACTTACTGACCTATCTACCTTCTCCTGTCGTTCACTCTTGCACAGCTCAGTCTCCGCAGCCCGCTTCCAAAACATGGAAAGGGACGAGGTGCATCTACAGTGGTCGGCTTTGCAGCCATCGGACTCGCCCCAGCAGCCCGAACCCCTCTTGCTCTTGCTCCTGTGCGGGCGTTTGCTCATGCTCTTGCTTGCTGTGTCGGTTGCTCTCGACCCCTTTCCGAAACCCTAAACCCGTTAGGGGATCCCGTTTTAAACGAAACCGGCTCTTTTTTCTGCAGCCGAGGCTCTTACTCCTCGAGGCTTACGCACTCCAAGGACACCGAGGAATCGGCGGAGGGTTTGGGAAAATAGGGGACCCTAATATAGTACCCTAAGTAGTATAGGATCCTTAGTTTAAGGACCCCAAAATAAGGCACCCCTTGTTTGCGGAAAGGGTGGAACGCGGTTTCTCTATGGCTGCCCTTTTTTGGGTCTTGTTTGGTTGTACTTTAGGTACGGCCCCCACTATATAAGTAATAGTTGAATACTATTTATAATGTAGATAATATAGTAGGACCTCAATAGTAGCCCTAGTATAGACTCTCACTGTATGGGGGCCGTACCTAAGTTGTACTGGTGTTCCATCTGCTTTCCACCGGGTTTGTTGGTAGCTTTTGCATTTCTGAACGTCGCTGCTTTTCGCTCTTGTCCGCAGGATGTATTTGTGCATTCTAGGGGGGGGCAGGGCGGTGCGTGTTGTTTTATCCCGTGATTAAATGTCGACTGTGATGCCGATCAAATTCACGCTTACTTGACACAGAGCCTTATTCAAGGCTTGACGCTCGTCGATGGCAGCATGAATTGTAGCGTATTCTGTGCGAGGAACCGATTCCGGATTCGTATTCGTGTCTGGCAATGTTGTTATTGTGCATGGGTTCGCACGCGGCCGAGGGGGTGAGGGAAGGGAGGCGGGGGCGGGGGCGAGGCGGGGCGGCATATTCTTTAGCTATGCTCGGTGGTACCGACGCTCTGGATGCTAAGCTTCATACTTTACGCTGAACTTAAACCTTTGAACACTTTTGAACATCAGCCTGGGGGGAGGGGGGGCGGGCGACCGCATCATTGGGCTGCGTTCCGACTGAGACCTCTTGGAACAACACGATGACCGTGAGCTGTGAAGCTCTTGTCTCACTGCTCTGTTGTACTTCGGAACCCCAAGAACCCAATACCCCTTAATCGTGGAACAGACCCTAGGGTTCCTTAAAGGGAAGGGTTCTACAGGGGAGTTATGGAATATACCATAGATTATCGATGCCCTAATTTTATGATGTAATAAGGTATATTCCTTAATCAAGGGGTATTGGGTTCTGTGAACTTCGAGGAGACAGATCCCGACTGTGCGGACCGGCCTCAGCCGCGCACACCGCCATCGATGATTCGGGGCATTCCGTCGCGATCCTCAACCGGGTGCAGTGCACGTTTCATTATGGAGACGGAGTCTCCGCTACATGATCGCGGTCCTGCACTTGGTAGCTTTTCTTTCTTGCACCACTACCACCACTAACACCACTACCGCCATTGGGCTTTAGTGTGGTTGAGGTAGCTTAGCAGAATAGTTGAGATATCCTACTTGGGAAGCCACCAACACCACCATCACCAGCACCACTGCCGCCGTTGGGCTTTCAGTGTGGTTGAAATAGCCTCTTTTCCTCTTTCAAACTGTTGAAGGAACCCCTAAACGGACCCTTAAAGGGACCTTATTAACAATCTCAAAGAGGAGCCCTTGAGGACGTACAGGAGCCGTTAAAGCCTTAAAGCAACCTTCAAGCCCTAAAGGAGCCTTACAAGGAGCAAAAAAGCGCAAGAACCGCGCAGGACCCTCCGGGAAACGCCACGAGGCGAAGCGCCGAAAACGCCTCGGGGGGAATCCGAGGCTCGGAGACCTTCTTTTGGTTAACAGAAAGGGTTTTAGGGTTTAGGATTAAGGGCTGTAGGGCTTAGGGTAGGTTCGAAGCAAGGGTTTCAGGTTTTGTTTTGGGGTTCACGGTTTGGGTTTTGTTTGGGCCGTTTAGGCCTCAGGTTTTGGTTTAGGGTCCTAGTTTCAGGGTTTAAGAAGCTGTACAACAAATGGGAGGTGTTAGTTTTCGAAAGTGAGATAATACATGTCGTTCAAGAGGAAAGGACTTTGATTTGTCATTCTCTTGCTCGTCTTCTGATGTTGGTATCAATAGCCCCCCTTCGACCCAAATGCAACCCTAAATCCTAAACCCCTAAACCCTAAACCCTAAACCGATACCCCTCTTCGACCCAAATGCAACAAGCTCCTGAAACCCCGAAGCCTTCAACCCGAAACTCTGGACCCCACGCCGAAGTCCTAAGCCCCAAACCCCTCGGACAATCTCTTGAGGCTTGACTTGACGTTCTTAAACCCTTCAACCCAGCCTTTAAGGCCTACATGATGAGGCCTAAATTCTAAAACATAGCGGACCTAGCCCTGGCCCAAGCAAAAACAAACCCAATAAAGCCTACATGGTAAGGTCCAGACATTAAAGTCGAAACACTAAGCCCTATAAAGTCTACGTGGTAAGGTCTTGTGCTTCCGGAGTCTGCTTCGCAGGCCGATGGTGCGGTCGTCGTGCCCCCAACCCTCGTGCACGGCCCAGTCATTGGGCTTCTGGGGTTTATAGGTTTGGGGTTCATGGGTTTTTTTGAGGGTTCTGAGGGTTTTATGAAGTCTTTGGGTTTAGGGCTTCAGGGATTTGTTAATGTTCTGAGAGTTTGATGAGATCTCAGGGCCTGGGGTCCCTGTGGCTTTGGAATCTTGGAGTTGGCTTGGGTGCAGCTGTATAGCGCACTTTGACGCAGGCAGTGGGGCACGGGTCCGTGAGATTGTTCATAACAGGCCTTTCTTTTCAAAACGTTGTTCGTACAGCAACGAGCACCAACGAGCTCCTAAAGACCCGAAAAGCCTGTGCCCAAACCCTTATGAAGAAGCGTCGAGTCTTCCTTAACGCTTTCGCGCCAGTCCTACGTCTTGAAATCCGTACTAAACCCTACGTCCTGAAATCCCGAAACCATCTTGAACAGATGCGAGGTCTGTCGAGCAAAGGGCGCTGGGGGCCCAGCCGAATTGTTGTGCATGCTTCTCAGGTCTGAAAATTTCGTAGTTAAATTCTCTTACAGTTTCTACACGCATACTCTATGATGCCCCAAGACGTACTCTCGTTCATTATAGTAGGGGACTAGTTGCCACCACAAGACTTTGTTTTAAGTATGAAGGACCCTGTACTACAACCTGATACAGCCTCTCAAAAATTCAGGAGCCTGCATCGGATTTCTTTTCGAATGCTTAAGGCCGCGATAATCTGTAGCGGATTTCTCTTCGAATTCTTACCCATAGGCCCCAAAGTAGTTCCTTTTGGGGATTACCTTCTAGAACGCTAAATTTGAACCCCCAAAAGGAACTACTTTGGGGCCTTTAGCTAAGGCCGCGAGAATATGAAGGTTTACGGGATTGGAACCCGGGCCCCAACCCCCCACCACATTCAACAGAAGACCTCGTGCCTTCTGCCCACACCCTAAACCTTGAACCGTGTAGCCCCTAGCCCTACACCCCATAAAGCTAAACCCTGAACGTAAAACCGGCAAAATCGTAGGATCTGACAAATTCAAAGAGCCCAGGGACGCCACGAGGCTGCAGAATGCGCGCGCTTCAACTCTGAAAGCAGGCAACTTCCCTACCGCCCCAAGCCGAAACGACCTGAACCCTCAAATTTATTGGGGTTGGGGGTGTATTATGTGTTACATGATGTTATTGTTATTATTACGAATATTCTTGTAGGGCTTAGAAGCTAACGAAGGTAGACGACAAACCCCTAAGCCCTAAACCCCAACTCCCTAAACGCTACTTGGAGGGTCCGGGGACTTAGTAACTGGTCATTTTGGGAACTTATAAGTACCATAACCCCAATTAGGGTCCCTTTTAAGGGTACTTATAATTCTACTTACTAACTACTTACTAAGTCCCCTGACCGCCCAAGTAAATGCTAACGGCCCTGAGGATGGCGTTCCACTAGGTTTGCTGTGCCGGGTCTTGACCTCAGAGATGTCTGGCTTGCGATGATCTGCGGCTCCCCTTCAGGTCTACTTAAAGGATCATGGGGCTTAGTAAGTAGGTTATAATTGGGGTTATAAGTCCCCTAAGTGGGGTTATCCTAATTATATCCTACTTATAACCTTACTTACTAAGTCCCATGAGCCTTCAAGTAGCAACCAAGGGTCCCTTTTAGCTAAGGGTTCCTTTAAGGGTTCCCTGAGGGTAAGGTTGTTACGAGTTTTATTTGGTTGTTGGACTTTGGGGGATGGCTTTGAGTCTCGAGATTTAGGGTCTGTAGTTAAGGGCTTGGGGTGTTAGGATTTTTGGGTTTGCAGTTAAGGGTTTAGGGTTCGGGATTTAGGGTTTGTGATTAAGGTCTTAGGGTGTTAGGACTTAGGGTTCAGGAGGCTCGGGAGCGGTTGCAAGTAAGATCATAAGTACCTTAAGCGGCATGCCTATAGATTTACCTGAGTTCTGAACCCTCCTCGATCAGTCCCTTCATCTGGTAAGTGCTTCGAGCTTTAGGGTTTCCGATCATCATCGGTGGTTTTGCCCGCGCAAGGTCGCAACACTCAAACCCGGCACCTGTAAACCCTAAAGCCCTGCACATAGCCGCCGCAATAGCAGTGAGCACCAACAGAACGGAGTGTCCCAACAGTATTTCCAACAAGAAGCAAAACAATGATCCTACGAATTACTCATCAACAGATCTTCACCATCATAGTGTTTGCAGTCATCATAGCTGTGCGGATGCAGCTCAATCCCAGACGCGCTTGTTTTCACGATCCTTTCAGCTCAAGCCGTCTGCGGTTCATTCGGAGCTCACCGAAAGAGAGCATGGCGTTTAGTCGGCGGCTGAGAGCTCTGGGAAGCCTAAACCGCCTGAAGAGCAGCTTTGCGGCTCAATCGGCTCCTCCCCCGATCCTGGTTTCGCATTACTAAGATGGTAGTAGTAGTAGTAGTAGTAGTAGCAGTAGTAGTAGTCTTAGTAGTAATAATTAATGTTCAGATATTAGTACCATGTACAATTTTTATTTGCAAGGTCTTTGGGGGTGTTTTAGGGGTGAGGTCAGGATGTAGCGTTCGGGTTTTAGGGGTGCAGGGTGGAGGATTCACGATTTAGGATTTGGGGTGGTCCAGATGGAGGGAAGAATTGCGGAGGAGAGTTCAGATTTTCAGGATTCAGTCTTTTCGGATGTATTTGTATTTGTTGCAAGGACGACAACCACACAAAGACAACATATGAAGCTTACTTGGAGGGTCGGGGGACGTAGTAACTGGTTATTTTAGGGACTTATAAGTATCATAACCCCAATTAGGGCCCCTTTTAAGGTACTTATAAGTCTACTTACTAACTACTTACTAAGTCCCCCCACCCCTAAACCCTAAACCCCAAAACTACCCTTATAGAGCCCTTTAAAGGAACCCTTAAAATCCCCTTTAAAGGAGCCCTTACTAAGTCCCCCGACCCCCCAAGTAACAACCATTTGTATTTCATAGCCTATAACTGGACCCTAAAGGCCCTAAAGCAACAGCCTTTTCAAGGGTTCATATCAAGAAATCAGAATAAGGAACCCAAAGCCCTAAACCCAAAAAGGTACTTAGAGGCCCAGGGCAGGTAGTAAGTAGGGTAGAAGTAGGGTTATAATTGGGGAAACTCCATTTAGGGTACTTATAACCATACTTATAACCTACTTACTAAGTCCCCTGGGCCTCTAAGTAGGTTATTTGTGGCGAGCTGGGACCGAGATCTGACCTATGAAAAGTCTATGTAGCGGGGCGAGGGGGGGGGGGGGCTGGCGGGGGGTTCTGGGGGCCGCCAAGAATTGAGAGAAGTCGGCATATCATATAAGTAGGGTTCATAAGTAGGATAGCTATATAGTTATATCCCGTATTAGGGACTGATACTTAAAGGCCCGGGGGACTTAGTAAGTGGGTTATAAGTAGGGTTGTAAGTACCCGAAATGGAGTTACCCCAATTATCACCCTACTTATACCCTACTTACTAAGTCCCCTGGGCCTCTAAGCAGCCCGACTTATACTGGAGCCCCAAGTTTTCAAGATGAGCCTTGCCCCCTCGCTGACGCCCTACGCTGAAAGCCCTGTGAAGAGCTTGCCTACCCAAGGCTCCATGTAGCCCTAAAGGGGTCCCTATAAAGGTACTTTAATGCCTAAGTGTATACTATATGGGTACATGGAGCCTTAGGGCTAGCGAGGGTTCAGGGCTTTGAGGGCATTGCTTCCTTCGAATCCCGGTGATGCGTGCGACAAAGCGTCTCGCAGATGCTGAAGAAAGCTTTGCAGAGCCGTTTGTCAAACTGTCAGTAATATAGGAGCCTAAATGATTACCTGTACTGTTTTGAGGGCTCTTTATCATAATTATATATTATAGTATAATGGGCTCCAAGACCCTATTCTAATTATGCAGGCCCCGATAGTAGCGTCTCAACCCTTGGATCCAGGCTAAGCTCACAGATGAAGTCAAAGACTCGTAATTAACACTTGCAACCCCTGAGCCAGCAATAACGGTGTCGGAAAAGCCTGTGACAGTATTGCCTTCTGGTCCAACTAGTATCATACTATTCTGAAACATCCCAAATCCCTGTTCTGATTGTTGCAACCTGTACATGCATACCCTATACTAAATAGAGAGGCGAGACATACGCACCCAGAGTTACTCCCACATAACCTTTATACCAACCAGAACCCATATAGCCACCTGTACAACTGCAAGAATTCCTTCCTCAGACGTTTTGATGAAACGTCCGAAATCAACCTAAAGCTCCTGAAGTTCTCCGAGGAAGGCTCTGCGAGAGCTTCCGGAGCCTTTCAACGCATCTTCCATCAGCTCCCCGTCGCGACGACTCCTCTTTGCAGGCCTAAGAAACCTTGGGTAGTAAGTGTAGTATAGGGTATATAGGGTTATCTGTTGAATAGCATGGAGGGCTTTAATACTTGGAACTGAAGGGTCCTTTGAAGAGGTTCTAAAAGGATTATCGTAGGGTGTTTTTGGTTTTGGGGCTCTTCAGTTGGAATATGCTGTTGGTGCTTCTAATACGGACGACTAGCAAATATTCAGACTCCTACTTTACCTCATTTTGCTTCCTTGCAGAACAAGGGGCCGAGCGGCTTGGGTTCACGGGCCCTACTTGAGGCTCAGGGGACAAATCTAGGTTCATGTAGAGGTCGGAATGATCACCACTAATACCCCCTTAAAGTTCCTAAAACCTTATTCTGAGTGGTAAGGCCACTATATTACAACCGCTGTTGTGCTCATGCTAGATGAGAACAGCTTTGGTACAACTCCATGTGCAGGCTCTTGTTACTTCAGATGATGCCTCAAGGTTTAGGACGACGTGTACTGGTAAGTGTGATTTCGTTTCATTGCCTCAACTTGGAGGGTCGCGGGACTTAGTAACTGGTTATTTTCGGGACTTATAAGTACCATAACCCCAATTAGGGTCCCTTTTCGGGTACTTATAAGTCTACTTACTAACTACTTACTAAGTCCCCCGACCCCCCAAGAAGGGTTCAGTGGTTAGACTTCGGCTTTTGTAATTTTAGCACCTGTTGATTTCGAGGGTTTACTTGTGGCGCAAATGCTGTGTTTTGAAATCAAGCTTTCCTTCATTGAGGATCCCTAAACCCTGAACCCCTAAACCCTAGACCCTAACCCCTAAACCTTAAAGCCTAAACCCCTAAACCCCAGGTGTTCTTTTCGTCTTTGCTGGATCCTTGAAATGTTACTTGGGGGGTCGGGGGACTTAGTAAGTAGTTAGTAAGTAGACTTATAAGCACCCTAAAAGGGACCCTAATTGGGGTTATGGTACTTACAAGTCCCTAGAATAACCAGTTACTAAGTCCCTCGACCCCCAAGTATCGGCCGTCTGGAACTGAAGATCTGAGAGTTTCCGAAAATAGGGGACCCTAATATGGTACCCAAAATAGTAGGATCCTTAATATAAGGACCCCCAAATAAGGTACCCTATCTTCGGAAACTCCCATCTGTCGAGGCGGCCTGGCGGGAAGCCTGGCTCTGGGTTCCGGCGTCGTGCTTTGCAAGGCGCAGTGGCCGGGGCAGAGGGGGAGGGGAGAGGAAAATGGGTAATATAGGGGCTTACTATTTTGAGGGGTTTCCTTATTATAATTATAGCTTTGCAAGGCGAGGTGGCCGGGGGAGAGGGGGAGGGAGGTAATATTTGGGCCTTAAGAATAAGTAGAGTAGGGTTCCTTTAGTTAAGGGTTCCTTAAAAGGGATGCTACAAGGGTTCCAGAAGGCATTTAGGGAGATAGGGGCTTTACAAACTACCTATACTATTTTGGGGTGGTTCCTTATCATAATCATAGCTTGGCAAGGCGCACTGGCCGGGGAGAGGGAAGGAGGGTTTAGGGTTTAGGGCTCATAGGGTTTTGGACTTGTAGGGTTTAAGGTTTATAGGGGTTTAGGGTTTATAGGGTTTGTAGGCTTGCAGGGCTGAGGGTTTCTCTATGTGTCAGGGGCATTTGGTGGGGGCAGGGGGAGGAGTGCGACAAGGGTTCCGGGTTTAGGCGTGTAGGGCTTTAGGGCTGGGGGGTCAGTGGTTTAGAATTTAGGGGGTTTGGGGTGTTTAAGGGCTCAGGGTTTAGGCATTAGCGGGTTGTAGGGTCATAGGGTTCTGGGAACTCGCAGTCGGCTGGCGACTAGGGTTTTCAGGACCAGGGCTTCGGTTTTTCGGTCTTCGGTTTTCGGGATGAGGGTTTAAGGATTTCGTAGTCTGCGGATGAAGGGTTCGGACTAGGTGGGTTGGGATCCAGAGCCTCAAAAAACTCCAAAATCTGTTTGGATTTCAGAAAGCTCTATTGTTAAAGGATTCGGCTGTGGTGTTTTCCGGAGTTTTGGCTTACGGTTTGCGAGTTTGCGTCTGTGGACCTCGGATAGTTCTCTTTTGTTTCATTCTGGGCGCCATGATCAAGGGAGTGGAAGCAACGCCAGCATTGAACTGGTCATCAAGAGTGGAGAGGAAAAATATACTGCTCCAACCAGCTTGGGCTGGTTTCCGAAAATAGGGGACCCTAATATAGTACCCTAAATAGTAGGACCCTTATTATAACGACCCCCCAAATAAGGTACCCCTAATTTTCGGAAACTCCCATATACTGCTGGTGTGTTAGATGTCATTTCAGCGGCAGAGCTGCGTGGTGCGTGCTTGACCGACGTCAGCTCGTTGTCTGAGTCAGTTCCGGGTGCCAGTAGCTTAGACTCAGTTTCAGTTGTTCAGCCCAAGGCCTTCTGGTTGATGATATAAATCCTGCATTGGCATTAATTACCCATAATATGGGATATACCACAATTCCCATAGTTTGGGGCACCTAAGGTAATGCAGGATGTTTATCATCAGCCGTAGTAAAGGTCTCAGGCTTTGACCTAAACCCTGAGGGAAACTCTGCCCAGTGGCTAGAAGGTGCTTACTGTGCTGGGCCGTGTGCTTCCCAGGTGTTGTCGGTTACATACTTCAATGATGCTGTCATTGCAGGGTCACAGAAAGCTCTCCCTAAACCCTAAACCCTAAACCCTAAACCCCTAAACCCTAAACCCAGACCCGAAGCCTAAACCTGGGCCTCTGCAGAAAAGGCCCATTGCTCTTAAGAAAAAAACCTGGGCCCAGTAGGGGCCGGGTAGCTATCGAAGCAGTTTTTCTAAGCCCTTGGCCCAATCACCCTAAATGCGAGACCCTGCAACCCTAAACTCAGAGTAAAGCGTCACACCCTCAAGCGAAAGTCCAGTCAGCCCCTAAACCCGAAGCTGCGGGCAGCAAGGAGAGAAAGGACAAGGCTGCGAAGAAGGAGAAGGAGCCTGAAGTGAAACAACTGGCACCAGGCTTCAAGGAAGGAGAGAAGGCACGGACTTCTGCTTCGGAACTTCTGGTGCTTTTTTCGCCTTGACGGCTTGGGATTGCGGGGTGCAGAGGTTACAGGGTTTAGTACAGGGGCCTTCATAATTACCAATACTTTTTTAAAGGGTTCCTTACTACAACTCTTACATAGTGGGCCCCAAAAACGCTATTCTAATTATTAAGGCCCCTATATGAGGCTTGCGACTAGGGCAGGGTTCAACTTCTTAGGAATTCAGGGTCTACGATGGGCTTTAGAACTCTAGGGCTTAGCATTTTGGGATGTAGAAGTCAGGGCTTCAGCGCTTTAGAGTTTGGGGTTGTGTAGGGGTCGAAGTTTAGTTTAGGGTTCTGTCACCACCAGAGGCAACTTGAACATTAATCCACAAGTTGTTAGAAGCTGCCCCCACCCTGTAATTGTGACTATAAAGATTATACTAGGGCCCTATTATAATTACAGGGTGGGGGCCCCTTCTAACAAGTTGCCAGAAACTGCAAGGATGCTTGACAAGTCAGACAAGTGCCCCCCCTCCCTCCCCAATTCCCATCCTTCTCCAGCAAGCCCTTACTGACCAGCTCAGCTTGCTTTCCCCTAAACCCTAAACCCCTAAATCCCTAAACCCTAAATCCCTAAACCCCTAAACCCCTAAACCCTAAATCCCTAAACCCCTAAACCCTAAACCCCTACTTCAGCCGTTTCACCAAAATCCCAGAAGGTCATCGCCTTTGCGGACGTGCAGAAGCATGATTCCATCGACAAAGGCATCTGGGTGACATATCGTGACGGAGTCTACGACATCACCAAGTTCCTAAGTGGCAACTTTTCCGATGCTTTCCATTTTAAAGTCTTATGAATCCGGTGCCTCTTCCCATAAACACCCTAAGCCCCAAACACGGAACGCCAAACCCCAAAGCCCTAAACCCGTAAACCCTTAAACCCCAAATCCCTAAACCCTAAAACCCTACAGACCCCTCAAGCCCTATTCACTTTCAGGGCCCGGAAGTTTTATCCCAGGTTCGTGCAGAACCACCCAGGAGGGCTGGAACGAATTCTCAAGGCAGCAGGGGGCCAGTGCCTGGGCATGGGGTTTAGGGTTTAGGGTTTACGGTTTAGGGTTTGGGGGTTTAGGGTTTAGGGTTTCAGGGGTTTAGGCTTCAGGCATCGGTATGCTAGAGGCCTGAACAAACACTACTCCATTTCCTTAAGGGTTCCTGCATACAACGGTTATATAGTCATATAGTCGAATGACGCTACTGTTCCTCAAAACCCTGTTCCTCTTTCTTGTCGTTCTACGGTGGCTGACGTGATTCGGAAGGGTTCTATGAACCGTTGCGGAGTCGGGGTTTTGGTGGTTTGGGCGCCGAACATCTCATCCGCGTGCCGTCGCGGGCTTAGGGTTGGGGTTTGTCTATAAACTGAGACCCGTAAAGAGAGAATGACCTTTGATGTTGCGGGGTGAAATCCAAGACCCTAAATCCCCAAGAACCCAAGAGATTGAAAGCCAAAGCCCTAGGGTTTAGGGTTTAGGGTTTAGGGAACCCCAAAACCCTCGAGCCTAAGCCTCCAAACTCAGAGCCCAAAGCCTTAACGCTAAACCGATGAAGGTACCTTCTGGTTGTCAGGCAATGGATAGCTTGCCTCCGGCAGCTCATCTCCTCATGAAGCCGACAAAGATTCCTGGAAGCCCACTTACGTATAAAAGAGGCTATGCTATAGTTGTACACAGAAAAAAGGGTACAGGGTTAGCAGCTTGGGCCGTCGAGTCGTTGCGGGCACTGACAGCAAGCAAAAGCCATGCCCTTCAGGAAACCAACTGGACCACCTTGGAGCTCAGCAACCCTACACCCGAAACCCTAAAACCCCTAAAGCCTAAAACCGAAATCCTAAAATCCCCTAAACCACACCCAAATCCAAATCAGCGACCCTGAACTTTCAGGATCGACCCCTTCTGGGCGATGTATGCTCAGCACAACGTTGCGAGCGTGAAGGACATCTTGGGTGAGTACCGCATAGGCCACCTGAGTGCGGATGAGTATGCAAACCTCCCGCGTCTTGGACAGGTTTATGTGTGTTGTTGGTATTGTAATTCGGGTGTATAGAATCCTTTGTAGCATCCTTCAAAGGGATCCTTACAGGAACCCTTAAAGGGATCCTTGAAGGAACCCTTAAAGGAAGCCTTAAAGGGATCCTTAAAGGAATCCTTAAAGGAATCCTTAACGGAATCCTCAAAGGAACCCTTAAAGGAACCTGTAAAGGAACCCTTCAGAAACCCTTGAGGGTTCCTTACAGGAACCTCTAAGGAACCGCTAGAAACCGAGGCCTCCCTTCGACCCCTACCAGACCGACCCGAAGCGGGACCCGGAGCTCGTCGTCCAAGCGGCAAAGCCCTTCAACGCAGAGACGCCTCTGAGGGTCCTGGCGGAGCAGGAGTAGTAGTAGTAGTAGTAGTAGTAGTAGTAGTAGTAGTAGTAGTGGTCTTTGGGTGAACTTAGGGCTAAGGGTTCAGGGCTTATCGGGTTTAGGGTTTAGGGTGTAGGGTCTGGGGTTTGTTTTCGGTTTAATGTTTAGGGCTGAGGGTTCAGGGTCTAGGGCCTAGGGCTTGAGGTTTTAATTTAGGATTAGAGCCGAGGAGTTTCAAGAGTCAACAGGTCACTTATTGCAGGGGCTCTGCATAGGGGTACTTAGAAATAATTCAATTTTTGGTTATTATAATCCCTAAGAAACAGCTAAAATCATAATTTTTGCTAGGGTTCTAAGTTCAGTATAGTCTGTTTCAATCGGAGAAAAGAGCAAAGTGTGCGAGCGAGGCAGGGTGTGTTGTGGGTTAGTGACTGACACTTGGGGGTCGGGGGACTTAGTAAGTAGTTAGTAAATAGACTTATAAGTACCCTAAAAGGGACCCTAGTTATGGTACTTATAAGTCCCTAAAATAACCAGTTACTAAGTCTCCCGACCCTCCAAGAGGAATATCTGACCCCGACTGACAAGTTCTTCGTGCGGAATCACCTTCCCGTGCTGTGGCTGCAAAAGTTTGCGCCGAAGTTTCCTTGCAATGTTTAGGGTTTGCGGTTTAGGGTTTAGGATTTAGGGTTTAGAGTTTAGGGTTTAGCCGGGCTTACGCTTCGGGGCAACCCGATCCATGAAAGCCCTAAGAAATTTGCAAAGGATCCAGTATTCTAGGAGGCCTGGGCCCTGGGTGCCGAAAATGCAGTTCAAGGACCGTAAGCTCAAAGTCCCATATGCATGGATCATATGGGAGTTTCCGAAAATTAGGGGTACCTTATTTTGGGTCCTTATAATAAGGAAAATATTATTTTGGGTACTATGTCAGTATGTCAGGGTCCCCTATTCTCGGAAACTCCCATGCTTTGGGGCCCAAAGAACACTAGAAAATGCTTTTGGGCTATTTTGATGCCCAGGGATAGTTACAGTGGTGTCCGCCATCAGAGGTACCCAAACCCTACACCAACACCCTATAGACCCTAAACCCTCCTGAACGCCCGAGCCCTAGACCCTGAACCCCTAAACGCCCTAAACTCTGAAACCCAAGTCGGAGGCCTCAAAAGGTGGAATGAAGGTAGGTAGGATTAAGGATCCCTTATATAAGCACTCTTATTTGGGAATATCCCACCTACCTTCATCCAACCTTTTGAGGTCCCCGACCAAGACCCTTAAAGGCTCATGGGACTTAGTAAGTATGGTTATAAATAGGTTATAATTAGGATAACCCCACTTAGGGCACTTATAACCCCGAGTATAACCTACTTACTAAGTCCCATGATCCTCTAAGTAGACCCTAAACCCTAAACCCCATAGATCCCTTTAAGGAACCCTATAGATCCCTTTAAAGACCCCTTTAAGAACCCTTACTAAGTCCCATGATCCTTCAAGTACACCCACGACCCTAGATCCTCTGAGCAAGCCCTTCGTGCAGGTCCCTTCGGGCTCCCTGATCGACCCCTCCACTTATGCTCTGGAGACTCGGCTGGGGTTTAGGGTTTAGGGTTTAGGGTTTAGGGTACTATAATATTGAAGGAACCTTAGGGTTCTGTAAGGGTTCCTTTAAAAAGACTATAAGGGTACTATAAGGGTTTTGAGGGTCTAATTTAGGAACCTGATTCAGAAACCTCGGACCTTTGTTAGGGTTCCTTATGGCTGGGTTTAGGGTTTAGGGCAAGCTTTGGGGTTTAAGGGTTTAGGCTTAAGTGTTGTTTGTCCATTCTCTTGTTTTTTTCCTTGGGTTTAGAATTTTGGGTAGGTTTAGAATTTTGGGTAGGTTTAGAAATTCGGGTAAGGACCCTAAACTCCGAGTCTGCCCAAACCTTGCACCAAGACCTTGCAGCATTTGCTTCCCTGGGCTTGTCTGATTCACGGCCCCTTCTGGTGGTTTCTCTGAAAGAACTCCTCAACAGTTCTGCAGGGTTGGGAATGTAGTTGAATTACTTCACCCCCCAATACTCCATTCTACCTATTGCACTAATTCCTCTACATTAGACCCTCTTGGAGCTAGCCAACCGGAAACCCAACGGGAGTCCTTGCTGATGATGCTTCTCCCAGCATTCGGGTGGCATCTTCGCCGAGCTGCGCAAGATTGGGAGGCAAAGGATCACTGCATATTTCGTTGCAAAAATTGCATGAATTGCGCATGGGAGCGCGCTCCGTTTGGTTGGCCCACGCCGCCTGAACGCCGAAAAGCTGCACAGGTTAATGTATTTTCAGGCAGCAATATTCCCGACAAGAATCAATTGACATTTGCCCCTAGTTGCTCTGCCCAATCCCAGCACTATCACAATTCCACAGTCGTGTAACACGATGGCGAAGGTGTACAAGGGGTGAGCGGGTGAACCAAGCTGTTCGAGCACATCCGACGAGAACGGCGGAGGGCAAGCAATCTGTGCAATGACAGTGTGTTGAAGTTGTTTGGCATGAGACGGAGACTGGAGCGTTTGAAACCCAACCACGTGCCTGAGCATGCGGCAGCATGTGGATAGTTCTCCGAATGATAAGGTCCCTTTTTTAGCGTTCTTTGCAAGAGTGCTGTGCTATATTGGGGCCTCAAGGGGTGCTAGTTTAGCGAAATACCCATGTGTGTTTCCGAACGTGCGCAGCAACATTATACTGTGAACAACAATTGACCATCGTCCGGCGCAGGAAACAGTGATTTGTCATAGAGCAACAGTGGTCTTGCGAATGTGGGAGTTGTCTCAAAACCTGTGTTTCAAATCTATGCGGAAATCCGGAGTGCTTAGCTTATGAGCATTCATAAGCTGAAACGGATAGGAAACAGTCTCGAGTCAGAGCCCAAATTGCACGTACCGACGCAGATGTTCAACTTAAAAATCTTCCTGCAGAACCCCAAACTATTTATATGGGTGGTTGTCAAAATTATGGAACCTTTTTGGGTCCTTATTATAATAGAGCACCTAATAGTTAGGATGCCCAGAAAGGGGCCATAATTTTAACAACTACCCATAATATACCAGACTGCTCTCGGTACGTGAACTTCCACTGCTCCGGCTACTGCTTCTGCAGCTACTACTACTGTTGATGATATAAATCCTGCATTGCCTTAAGGACCCAAAACTATGGGAATTACGGTATATTCCTTATTATGGGTAGTGCAGGATTTATATCATCAGCCGTACTGCTACGCCAATTACTAGTGCTGGTACTACGACTTAGTATATCTTCTATTTCCACCGTCAGTCGAGGCCTAGCACGTGGGGAGCCCATGGGAAGGGGGCAAGCGGACGGGCTTGCTTCCTGCATGTACTGCTGCTGGTATTAATAACGGCTGCTGTTACTACGACGACGACCACAACGATAAATTCCAGTCGTGGACGTATCTATAGTACTATAGGGCTTGGTGTAATGGTAAGGTTTCGGCAGCATGCACCTGTAATGCACAGCCGCCTTGTAAGCCATGTCTGGTGGCAGAAATTTCTATGATCCATGAATTTAGCAGAGCTCAGATGTCTCCGCTATCCGTGGTGCACCTGCGCTCCTGCATGGGTCCAAACTTACGCAAGGGGGTTCTTATGTTTATAAAGCATAGGGACATGGACCCTTAGGGCTCAGTGTGGGCCGCACAGCCGAGGAGATCGTGAAAGGCGAGGAGGAGGATCCGGTGAAGCTCACCTTGAAGGACGGCTTCTCCGTCGCCGATACTGATACTAGGGTTTAGGATGTTGGGTTTATGATGATTGCAGGTTTTCATTTAGGACATTCGGCACTCTTGGAATTCGAAGTCTATCTGCATTGAAAAGTTAGACTTGTGTTCGTAGAGCGTTGGATTCACACGGTTCTGATTTGGATTCAGCACTATAGGCTATCACCCGGAAATAAACACCAAGCACGTTACATGCGAGGCTCACACACTCCGGTGTTCATGACATCGGGAATCCCCGACCCCAGCCGCCTGAAGGACTTGCAGGACGAGACGCGCTTCAAGCGCAAGAAGATCTGTGCGATCATTCAGTGCTCCGGCAATCGCCGCGAGGATCAGAACTCGGTGGCGCAGGCCCATCGTGTTGTTGCTTTGCCTGTTGTTGTTTTCATTCGGCTGCTTTTGGTGGTGGCGCGTGGCGGGTAGTGCTGGCGGTGATGCATGTAGCAGTACTGGCGGTCGTCGTGTTCGGTGGTCTCGGTCTTGGACATATAGTGACGTAGTCATGATTGCAAGGTTTTGGTTGTGGTCCAAGTTGTGGTGGTGTGTCGTCGTCGACGGCGTCGTCTTGCCAGCGTCAACACTCGTCGTGTGCTCGAGGTCGTTCTACTTATAGTATCTTACAATGAAGTCTTAGTGCAGCAACCGTCATCCTCATACGATTTCCAGCCCTTATTATCAATAACCCCGACCATCAACACATGTAATCACTATGTATCGAATCCCTAAACCTGATCAGGTGGAGGGCCTGACGTGGTACACCGGTGCCATCTCCTGTGCTGAGTGGGAGGGCGTGGCCCTGAAGGACGTCTTGGACTCCGTCGGAGTGCCATGGAGCAATGATGCTAGGGATTCCAATGAGGTGTTGAAGGTACGGCTAGAGCTTCTAATGCGTTTGGTATTAGCTACCCCTAAACCCTAAACCCTAAACCCTAAACCTTAAACCCTAAACCCTAAACCCTAAACCGTCTGTCGAGCGATGCACAGTTTCAGGCTTTGGTCGCGTGCTAGGGGGCGTCCGGCTTCCTCAAACATCTCGAGCCGACTGTAGAGTAACTGCGCGGTTTAGGGTTTAGGGTTTAGGGCGTAGCCTCTGGTTTGGAGTAGAGACAGTCCCATAGAGACCAATCACTTGCTGCAACAACGGTTCATGATATAATTCCTGCATTACCCATAATAAGGATAAGGAATATACCATAATTCCCATAGTTAAGGGTCCTTAAGGTAATGCAGGGCTTATACCATCAACAGAAAGGAACCACTGGCATGGAGACTTAAAGAAAGAGCTTCCTTCACAAGAGCGCACTGGAAAGGTGCCATCCACCCTGGGCATGGAGAGTGAGCTCGAGGGGGAAGATGACCAGCTTCATCTCCAGATGGAGGGAATCTGGGCTTTGGAGTACCATACTTTAATACTTTATTGAGACCTGTTACTTAACGGGAACCAACTATGAGAAAAAAGTCTATACTTTTTTTCTCCCTGGTCAAAGCCCAGGAATGGATCGGCCGAAGGTGGGGGAATGGCGAACCCCGTCTTTGGAAAGTCTGAACAACAAGTAATCGCAATACGACATACACCGAAGCCCTGCTCAAATTTGTAAGGCCCCCATGTTATACTTACACCCCATAAAACTCCCTGGTAAGTTCTTATAGATTCCTTATTGATCCTTTGCAAACCCCCATAGATCCCTAAAGATCCTACAGATCCCGCATAAAACTCCTCATAGACCCCTTCTCAATCTCGTAAATCCTTATTAGACCCCTTATGAATCCCTTATAGATCCCTCACACATCCCGTACAGAACTCCCTACAAAAGCAGCCCTTGTTGTAGGAAGTTTTGGGGCTGGGTGGGGTCGATTTTCAGGGTTCAGGGGTTTAGGGGTGCAGGGGTTTAGGGTTTACGGTTTAGGGTTTATACAAGGGTTTTGGGTTCAGAAGTTTAGAGTGAGTGAGGGGTTTACGGGTTTACGGGTTTACGGTTTAGGGTTTAGGCGTCTAGGGTTTTAGCGTCCAGGAGTTTTGAGTGAGGGGTTTAGGGTTTAGGATGCAGCGTGAGGAGCCACAAGGTGCTTTCGTCGCTCCAGGGAAGCAAGGCTTTGCGGTGTAAGTTTCTAGCTTAAACCTTAGAAGCTGCCCCCACCCTGTAATAGTGACTATGAGGATTATTTTAGGGCCCTATTATATTCCGATTATACCTATTACAGGGTGGAGTCCCCTTCTAACTTAAACCCAAATAACCTACTTGTTTCAGGATTCATACATGGAGATCATACTCAGGAACCCTGAAAAGGGAGGTTTACTTGGGTCCAGGTAGAGCTTAGGGTTGAGGCTCTGATCTTGAAGCCTTACATAACCCCAAGTAAACCTAAAACCTTAGATTCTCTAATGTAGGAACCTGGCTTCGCAACCCTGGGTCTTTCTTAGAGTTATCAGAGCTCTTTATGCGGATCCCAACATGCGGTTATAGGGCCAGGGTTTCTTCCTACATCCCTAGAGACCTCTCACGGATCTTTATAGATTCCATATGGGTGGTTGTCAAAATTAGGGTCCCTTGTTGGGTACCCTGAATATTAGGTGCCGCATTATAATCAGGACCCAAAAGGGACCCGAAAATTGACAACCACCCACGTACATCTCTATAGATCCCTGAAGCCCGAAAGCATCACCGAGGAGACACGAAAGGCTTCTACGGGGCGAGCATCCCCCTGGCCTGGGCGCAGGCAGAGGGAACGGTCCGGTGATTTGAGGTGGTTTTAGGTGTTTGGGGTGTGTATGTTTTGTTGAGGGGGGGTAGGTGTGGGTGTTCGGTCTTTTTGTTTGAGGGTGTGTGTAGGTTTTAGGGTTGAGGATGTAGGCTGAGTATTTGTAATTGTCCTATGATTGTTGCTGAGCGATTCTAACTTGGGCGCATGCTTCCTTTCGCAGGTTTCTCAGGCACTTGCGCAACTCATTAACGCCGTTTGTGAAAAAAACCTTATCAAGCCCCTATAAATCAGTATCGAAACCCTGCAAAACCCTTGTAAGAAGTGGGAAAGGGTTTCCGGCAGACCCAAGATCTTTCAATCGGTCCGTCGAGAGGTCACCAGGCTGGAAGGCTAAACCCTCAAGCTCAAACCCTTACAGTAAAAGCCAGAAAGTTGGAATATGATTATCCTAATCCCTTTATGGTAAATTATAGGGTATCCTACCCTGAAACCACATTCCAACTTTCTGGAGTTCCCTGTATGAAGGTTTGCAGCCTTGAGAGTTTAGGGTTTAAGGGGTTGTAGGGGCTTCCAAAAAAACGGGTGTGTCCCCGGTACTTCGGCTGCTTGTCAAGAAGCCCCAGACCTTAGGGGCTGAGTAGGTCACCTTTTACCGTTTTGGGGCTTATGTAATCCTACTGTAACTCAATTGGATAACCTTTTTTTGTCGCTAAGGTATCCCTAAACCCTAAACACCTACACCCCAAAGAAACAGTAGGCCCTTTAGAGACTTCTGATCTGCTTCAAGGATCCTCGCCGAGACGTGCTCCTGGCCTTCAAAATGAACGGCGAGCCCATCCCAGCTGATCACGGCGCACCCCTCCGCTGCGCCGCTTGCCAGAGCGTTAAGGGCTCAAAGTTGAGGGACCCCAGAAGGACACAAGCATAAGCGTTTTCCTACAGTGGGCTTCATTCTAAGGGTTTAGGTGGGGTCTCCCTATCCTGATGTTTGCTTATGTGCTTTTTTGGGGGCCCTACCTTTGCCGGTGCAGGGCTTCAAGGGTCGGTGTTCTGGGTAATGCGTAGGGTTTAGGGTTTAAGTTTAGGGTTATCCAGAGCCTTGGTTTAGGACTTTGTGTTTATGTTGTACTCCCCACAGCCTAAGCGCCCTAAAGCCCTAAACCCCTACCCCTAAACTCTAGGCCCTGAGCCGTACGCCCTACATAAATTGATAGGCCCTCAGCCCTAAACCTTATAAGTCCTAAACCCAAAGCCTCATATCATGTATCCTCAAAGCCCTTGAAGCCCTGAGCCATAAGTCATATACCTCAAGCCCCGTAGCATGTATCCCTAAAGCCCTGAAAGCTTGAAGGTCGTGCCTGGTGTGGCCGGTGCACGCAGCGTGAAGTGGCTTTCCAAGTTGATCGTGGCCGAGGCTGCCAAGATGGAAGAACGTGGTAGGGTTTAGGGCTTGGGGTTTGTCCGGGTTTAGGGTCCAATTACGGGCTTTGGGTTTGTAGGGTAATGGGGTTTTGGGATCCTATGCATACAGAAGCCTGAGTATATTGGCCAGTGCTATATTTCCAGGGTTCCTGTGTAATATAGTATGCTGGTTTTTGTATGATATACCGCAAAACCTTTAACTAGTAAGTTAAGGTCCCCACATTATGGGTGTCATTGTGGGGGTGTGACTGCAGACTACAGCTGTAGTTTGGGGTCGAGGGTCCAGGGTACCGTAGGCGGAATGTACCGTTTGAGTTCCAGGGGGCTTAGGACAAGCCTGACTAGCTAGTCACAGCAAGACTAGTCATGTTCACATGCTACTGATGATAGGTATCCTATGTTCTGAGATCAGCAAGATGTGGTGTCCTCAACCGCAACTAGAAGATATGCATCTCACTACCGTAAGCCCTAGAACGCAAAGGCCCCAGATGCTAAAGCCCCGAAGCCCCTAACTTCTTAGACCCGAAATCATGGCTTAGGATGTGCTAATCTCTGAGCCTGCGCAGACCCCGAAGAACAGCCTGATGCAAGGCCTGCACTGCAGATCTGAGCCCCCGAACCAGCAACCGCTGGCTTCAGAAGCAAAGCCCCCCTCTTCCTGTCAGTGCTGGTGAGTAGAAGACACAGAAGGCAACCTCCATCCTCAGCCGAAAAACATGGAATCTAGCTGGCTTTACAAGAATGTGTACACAAGCGTTGCATAGTGCTCTTTGAAACGTAGACGAGGGGTAGGGCCCTGTATAGTCCTAAACTACCGCAGTATAAGACCAAAGCCATGAATCCACATGGGAGTTTCCGAAAACGGGGGACCCGAATGTAGTGCCCTAAACAGTAGGATCCTTATTACAAGGACCCCGAAATAAGGCACACCAAATACCCTACAGAACCTTTAAAAGGAACCTGAACCCTTATAGATCCCTTTAAGGGAGCCCCTATGGATCCCTTTAAAGGCACCCCCCCAAATTTTCGGAGACTCCCAGATCTGCCACAGCTGTACTGCAGGAGGAGTCGCAGAGCCATTGGCAGCAGAACCTGGTCATCACAATGCCGTGGCTTAGGGTTCCTTTAACGGAGACCTATAGGGGTTTCCAGGGTTCCTTTCAAGGGGACCTATGGGGGTTTATAGGGTTCCTTTAAAGGGATCTTGTGGGCTTTGGGTTCAGGGGTTTGGGGTTTAGGGTTCAGGGGCTTTTGTGTATAGGTTCAGTGTTTCCGCTGTGCCAAGGCTGTCTTTCGCTAGGCTAAAGCAAATTGTCCGTTTAGACCGTGTTCTCTAGGTTTACCTAAAGTGTAAATCGAAAGCTCTTCTAATCTGCCAAGAAATCCTGAACCGCAAAGCCTTCATGACAGCACCCTCAACACCCTAATGCCCTCAATCCCCTGAACTTAGACACCAAAAGCAGCCCCAAAACTCGATTTCCCAGCTCCAAGCTGTAAGTCCACTCTCTGAATCCCTAAACTTAGAAACTCTAACCTTTTAAGTCGCAAGCCCTGCCCTAAATCCCTAGTTCCCCTCGTACCCCTACGGTTGATGATATAAATCCTGCATGACCCATAAGAAGGCGTATACCACAATTCCCATAGTTTAGGGTCCTTAAGGTAATGCAGAATTGATATCATCAACAGTATTACCCTCAGGAACGACTACAAGGCCTTCTGCTCCTCCATTACTTGGGACACGGCGGACTTCTCCAGCCTTCCCGCTATCCAGGACCTTTGGGGTTTAGGGTTGGTTTAGTGTTTAGGGTTCAGGGTTTTGTTTTAGGATTTAGGGGACGTTTGGCTATCACAGATAGGCATTTTTGAGGAGGGGCTGTACATTGATAGGTATTCTGGTCTTGCGCCTACTGGGGGTTAGGATTCGATTTCAGGGCTTAGGTCGAGGAGGTTTGCATGCAGGGGCTTGAAGTTCGGGTCTTGTTATGCTGATGTAGAGTCGATGACCATGATGATGGTTGCGACAACGCCCATAGTGATGAGGATGATGGTGACGACGATGACGGCGGCCTTCGTCGTCGTCATTACCATGGTCATCATCATCATCATCATCATCATCATCATCATCGCCATCATCGCCATCATCATCGTTATCATGGTCATCGTCGTTATCGTCGTCTTCGTCATCGCCATGGGTTTGGCGCTTATTGGGGACAGCTAGGTTCTTGTGCTCACAACCAATATTGTGTTGACATCGGCGATGCCGGGCACATTGATGGTGACAGTTGTGTGCAGTTATTGCTGCTTTTGATGAAGATAGTCTCAGTGCTGACAGAGATGCGTGAACCCTAGCTAAACCTCAACCCAAGTCAACCCTAAACCCCAAACCCAAAGCCCCTAAACCCTCATAGATCCCTGACAGAACCCTTAAAGGAATCCTTAAAGGAACCCTAAGCCCCAGCCCGGACATAAAGTCTGCATTTTTTAGCTTCTCACCAGGACATGCCCGTGAATTCTGCGATCTCCTGGCCACCGGCCAAGTCTCTTGTGGAGCTGACATCCGATGGCTGCAGCTGGGCTTATACCCTAAACCCCTATCCCCCTAACCCTAAACCCCTAGACCCCAAAACCCCTAAAACCCTAAACCCCTAACCCCAAAACCCCAAACCCTAAACCCCGAAACCCCTAAACCCCTAACCCCTAAACCCTAAACCGATGGCTGCAGCTGGGCTTAATGTAGGCGCCTGAATAACTAGAATAAGGTTCTGGGGTATCGTATACTTATGATTGTGGGAAGCGCATAACATTTAAGTGAAGAAGCCCAAATCTTAACTTCCAAGCCCCAAACCAGAAGCCGCCTTCAGACCCCCAAACGCAAACTCTAAGATTGACAAATTGAGAAGGTCTTGTAGGGTCTACCCAGAGGCTCCATAGTAGTTCTTTTTTGGGATTACCTTATAGGATTCTATATATGAACCCCTAAAAGGAACTACTATGGAGCCTTAGGGTAGAGTTTAGGATAACTCGCACAAGAAACGCAGACAAAAGCTAAGAAGGCAGACGTGCAAACATGTAATGAGGCCACTATAGGACCCTACGTACAACGAGATCAGAATATTGAAAACACATAAAGGGCTCCGTCAAAACCCTTATCAGACCCTGAAACCTGTAAAACCATGTAAACACCCTTCAAAAATGTTAAACCTTCTCCTAAACCCTTATGGGTGGTTGTCAAAAATATGGCCCCTTTTTGGGTACCCCCAAATAACAGGTGCCGTACTATATTAGGGACCCAAAAGGGACCCTCATTTTGACAACCACCCTTATAACTTGTAGGACCCTGATGAATCCCTTCAAGGAGCCATCAAAGGAAGCCCTCAAGGAACCCTTAAAGCCGTAAAGCAGCCCTTGGCAGCCCCGATACAGTGACCCTGCACCCTGAACCCTAAAACCCGAAAGCCTACATTCCTAAGTTCTAAATCCCAAAGCCCCAAACTCTAAAACCAAAACCCCTCAACTCTAAAACCCTAAACCCCCAAACCCTAAAACCCTCACGTTAAGACCTGAACCCCATAAACCCCAAAAAACCCCAAACCCCCAACCCACACACCCTAAACCTTCAAACCCACAGTGAGGCGTTGAGATGAAAGGCTGGGCCTGGAGCGGCGGCGGCCGGGGGATTTCCCGCGTGGAGGTGTCGGCGGATGGCCACAACTGGACCCTCGGTACTCCTCAGAGAACCCAATACCCCTTCATTGAGGAATATACCTTAAAGAGGCCTTAATATTTTCGATTTAAGGTATAATCCTTAAGTAAGGGGTATTGGGATTTGGTGGTCTATCTCAGTGGCTCTAAGCTGTAGGGTTTCGGGTATTTCTGTCTCGGTGGCTTTAAGGTGTAGGAGTTTAGGGTTTAGGAGTTCTATGTTAGTGACTTTAACATTTAGGAGTTTAGGAGTTCAGGGTTTAGGGTCTAGGGTACAGGAGGGTATGGAGGCATACCCTTCATACTTCGCCCCCTGATCTTTAAATACCTTGACAGATGTTCCCTGAAAAATTCAAGTACCCTTGTAAATCCCGTATGAGGCCCATTAAGCCCTTGTATATAATAGAATAACAGATAACAAACCTACATATAGCCCAACTTGCGACACCCCAAACCCCCTAAACCCCAAACTCTGAGCTTTAAAGCGGCCTTAAACTAAACCTTACACCCTAAACGGTCACATAGACCCTAAACCTAAACCCCTAAACCCTAACCCTCTAAAGCCAATACGGTTCCCAGAGATCCCAATACCCCTTAAGTAAGGAATATACCTTAAATCTTAATGTTAAGGTCCGTATTATGTAAGGCATATTCCTTAATTAAGGGGTATCAGAATTCCCCAAACCCTAAACCCTATAGATCCCCTAAAGGATCCCTTTAAAGGAGCCCTCCTAGGTATTCCTTAATTAAGGGGCCCCTTGGGGATCTCTGGGTTCAGGGATCGCTTACGCAGGACGGGCGCTGAGCTGTCCCGCCCCCCCGGGCAGTCCCTGACCCGGACCTGGGCCTGGACCCAATGGCAGGCTCGGTGAGGTTGAGGGTTTTAGGGATTTTAGTGAGGTTTAGGGTTCCTTTAAGGGTACTTTAGAGTTCTATAAGGGCTCCTTTAAGGGGGAGGTAGGACTTTAGGGGTGAAGGGTGAGGTTTAGGGTTTTAGGGGTTTAGGATTAGGATTTTTAGGGGTTTAGGGGTTTGGGGGTTTACGGTCTTGGGGTTTTTGGGGTTTAGGGTCTAGGGTTTAGAGATTTAGGGTTTCGGCTTAGCGTTTCGGGATTTTTCCCAGACCCATCAGTAGGGTTTCGGGTTCGGTTGAGGGTTTAATGTTTACGGATTTAAGGCTTCGGCTTGGAGATAGCAAGCTGTCGGGTTTGGGCTGCAGGGATGAGCTTTGGGTTGAGGGCTTTGGGCTCCAGGGCCTTGCGGATCACAACTCGAAGGGCTCAAAGGCGACCATACAAGGTTTTAATCGAGGCTCAGAAGGGGTTCGCCAAGGGTTTCAGGCCGTTTTAGGGGTTCTTGTGTTTCGGGCGTTTGGGTTTTTCAGTGTTTCAAAGCTTTTTCTTGTAGGTTTAGGTGTGTAGGTTGCTAGGGCTTAAGGCAGTTTGAAAGTATAGGCTTGTAGGAATTGGAGGTGAAGGTTCTTTTTGTTTGGGTCGGTTAAGGCATTAGGGTCCTAGTGACTTAGTGTTGCAATAGTTTAAGCTTCTTTGCTACTTGCATCCTACTGTGGTTGAGTCCAGCTGATGGAACAGTTTCCTGGACCGAAACCTACCTTCACCAATAAATATATCAGGAAATCACAATCACGAGCCCCGCAATCCCTAACAACTAAATCCACAGGTAGGCTTAAGTTTAAATAGGCTTGAGGTGAGCTGTATTCGCAACCTTAAACTCCTAAACCGGCAAATGTAGGTTTTAATAAGATTCAGGTGAGCTGTGCCGAGAGTAGCCGCGGTATCTATACAAGTACATGTGCCAATTGTTTAGGGTCATCTCCTTCTCTGAAAGGTACATTGGTTTCCGTAGGTATATATATGTCCAAGTACCCTAAACCCTAAACCCTACACATGTCGAGCTCTGGGTCGTTTGCTCTCGCAGTTTGGTCGTCACCGCGCCTTCTCAGACATGGGATTCTAACTGTCCGCAGGTGGAAAAAGGCGTTCAAAAAGAATTACACTCACCCCAACACCCACCCCTAAACCCTAAACCTTACAGCTTTGCTTCGTTAGCTGTAGACACCCAGAGAACCCAATACCCCTTAATGAGGGATTATACATTAAACCATAATAGTAAGGCCTCTATAATTTAAGGTATATTCCTTAATTGAGGGGTATCAGAATTCCCTAAACCCTAAACCCTATAGATCCCTTAAAGGATCCCTTTAAAGGAGTTCTAGGTATTCCTTGATTAAGGGGGCCCCTTGGGGTTCTCTGGGCAGGCGAACTTGCCGATCCCCGAAGAGCTCCGGAAGCCAGGGAAGGGCGTGAAGCTCATGGTAAAGGCTTGCCTCGCCTTTGGCATTCCTTAAGGCTCCATGTGCACTTTTAGTAGATACTTCGGCCTTAAAGTACCTATATAGGGACCCCTTTAAGGCCTAAGTACCTACTATATGGGTACATGGAGCCTTTGGCATTGGGTTTTAGGGGATTTGGGGGATTTAGGGTTTAGAGTTTATGGGATTTAGGCTTTTGGGTGTAGGGTTTGTGGGATTTAGGCTTTAGGGTTTAGGGTTTATGTGATTTAAGCTTTAGGGTTTAGGGTGTAGGGGATTTAGGTTTTGAGGGTTCAGGGTTTTTGCAGGCTTTAGGGTTTAGGGTCGGGTTTACGCTTTAGGGTGTAGGGAACTCCTGCATGTATGTCTGCTGCCATGTCCCCCACACAACTTGTTGGATGTTCAAAAAGACACACAACCGCATGCCGGCTGTGTACTGGTACATAGTGTCGCCTATCGCATGTACATCCAGATGTAGTTAATCTACAACAAGTCGATCGGCCACATCTTTCGCGAGTGTCGTGTAGCGTCTGTGTGCGGCTTGGTGTCCTGATTATGGTGCTTGTTGCTGTCTCTATCTCTCTCTCTCTCTCTCTCTCTCTCTCTCTCTCTCTCTCTCTCTCTTTCTCAGAAAGGCGATTCGTCTGTCAAGTGGATAAGCACATGTTTATTCGGGCTACATAGGCGACCGAAGACCATCCGAGCAGGCTGCCGATGCCCAGTACAACGTGCAGCCGGAGTCCATCGAGTCTGTATGGAACATTCGAGGTGTGCTTTGCAATGGACCCTAAAGCCTAAACCCTATAACGGTTTAGGCTTTAGGGTTTAGGGTAACTTATAATCCTAAACCCCAACCAAACGCTTCGAGGTGTGCTTTGCAATGGACCCTAAACCCTATAACTTATAATCCTAAACCCTAAGCAAACTGTTCGAGGTGTGCTTTGCAATGGCTGGCACCGTATCCTCGTGACCATCAAGCCGAAGGCCGTCAGCAGAACGCGCTTTGAGCACGGCTATGCGAACTGAGCGGCAGAAACGCAGAGACTCCAATGTGAACACCCTAAACCCTAAACCCTGAACCCCAATGTCCCCTAAGTCCGGGTCCCTCCTTGAAAACCCCCATGAGAATTGAAGGATTATTCGCACGTTAAAATAGGGGGGGATATGAAGTCGTTGAAAGAGTTTCATGATCAGTGGTTTCCCGTCCTTTCTCTGTGCCAGCCGTTCTAGACTGGCTGAGCTTGTTTTTTTAGGGATGGGGACCTCTCCCATCTAGCTTCGGAGAAGTCGCCAGAGCTGTTCAGTTTGGAGGCTGAAAACAGCGGCAAGATGGGTTCAGGGACCTTCTCTCAGGGATTCCTATGAAAGGACTAGTGACTAGACGCTATAGATCCCTGCCTCCTAAAACAGGACAGCCTTTCAAGTCACATCGCTTGCTGATAGACGGACCATCCTCCGCAACGGCAGAGCCATCGATTCGAAAATGATCGCCGGGTCGAGTCGTTTTGAAGCCTACCTTGAAGGGGTCTATACAGGTTCCTTTAAGGGACATTGAAGGGACCTATGCGGCTTAAGGGGTTCTATCAGGGGTCTTTAGGGGTTAGGGTTTAGGGTCTACCTGCTACCTATAGTCGCTATTGTAGTTCTCCATTTTGGTTAACTTAACCAGCTTTATTATGATTCGGATCCTATAATACGCATGTGGTTGACCAACAAGGAACTACAGTGCAGGCTATGGGCAACCTTATTTCATCTGCCTAGTAGGGCGATTCTCCTGTAACCTACGTGTCGAAACCTGAGAACTTCCTTGGACCTTCTTAAATGACAGCTGTGCTGGCGAAAGCCACCTCAGCCTAGTGCTAAAGCAACTCTCGGAGAACTCGGGCGCGAACTGTCCTTGGAGGTTCATGGGTAGTTATAAGTAGGGTTATAAGTCCCCTAATTCGGGTTACAAGCATAGTTACCCTACTTATAACTAACCATGAACCTCCAAGTTTCAGTGCCTCCAGGAAAGCATTGGTTCGCGGTGTTGGGTTCAGGAGTTGGCGTTTTCTGTGCATGCATGGCATGTCCTCCAAAAGAACCATGACCTAAATTACCCATAGGCCCCAAAGTAGTTCCTTTTTGGGGTTACCTTCTAGAATTCTAAATATGAACCCCAAAAACGGAACTACTTTGGGGCTTTAGGTAATGAATATCGACAGGAATGACAGGAGTGGACGCCACAAGCACGAAGCCTTACAACGCGGCCACTGGCTGCCTGCAAGCCTATGTCTTACGCCGACACAATGAACCCTAGTTGTTTTGTTGACGTCCGTGTCAGGGGCCATGTCTGTGGTGTATCTCCTCAATAAGCCCATACAGAGCCTGGCTGAGAAGACGAGCTCTTCTTTAAAAGCTTGCAAACGTCAATCAGTGACGTCTGATAATATGCTTGCAAGAGTTCGGATATTTGCCGTGTGCTATCAGGTAGTCCATGTGGATATTTGCCGTCGGGTATCAGGCAGTCCATGTATAACCGAGCGTACAATCTAGCGCTAATCACTAAGGCCCCTGCATTACGCCAGCCTGAAAATCCTGCAAGGAACCCTTTAACAAAGGAGTTGGCCTACTTAACAAAACACAATGGCAGTCCCTGTGCAGTTACAGTAGGGCATGCCGGTTGTTAGATACCCTAACCAAAGGAACCCCTTTTCCCAGGTGTCCCGACGGGGCGAACTCTTGATGCTAGGGTGCCACAGGATCCGATTTTGGGAGCAATCGGGTCTTCCAGGAAGCTGACTGGACGTAACGGGACGAAGTAGGAAGGTTGCAATCGCCCTGCTATCGCTACTACAATTTGAGGCATTTGGGCTATTTTGAACCCGTAAACCCCAACGTTTAACCCGGCGTCCGACTGTGGGGTTTGGGATTCATTGAAGCCTACAGACCCCAAGCCCTTCAATCCAAACCCGAAACCTATGGCATAGTATTCCTGAGGCCACAAGGACTAAAATTTTGAAGCCTTTGGGCCCAAAGACCATGGTACATACTCAAACTCCGTAGGCTGAGGGCAGTCTGTCCGTTTCTGCTCCAAGCATGGATAGCCTTGCCGTACCCTCAGACTCCAAGCCTAAGGGTCCATGTACCCAAACAGTATATACTTTGGGCCCAACGTACCTATAATATAGGGGGTACTTTAAGGCCAAAGTATATACTGTTTGGGTAGATGGACCCTCAGACTCCAAGCACACAAAGCGCCCGCTTCGGGGTTGACAGTTTCTAAACAATGCCTACCTTGGAGGTTCATGGGTAGTTATAAGTAGGGCAACTATACTTATGACCGATATTAGGGGACTTATAACCCTACTTATAACTACCCATGGAACTCCAAGTACCTTGGGCCAGTATTCGCCGTGCTATAGGGTTAAGCCAACACCCCGGACCTGCGGTGATGCCAGAGATTGAAGATCACAGCCTTCACCTTGAGATCCCAATACCCCTTAGTCAAGGAATATACCTTGAATCATACTATTAAGGCCCCTATTATTGAAGGTATATACCCCTTAATGAAGGAATATACCTCAAACTATAATATTAAGGCCGTGTCATTGAAGGCATATAGTCCTTAATTAAGGGGTATTGTATTGGGTTCTCTGGGCAGCTGCACCTTAAGAGCCCCAGTCTAACTTAGTGCATCAAGCAGCATCCTTAATTACTATAGAAGTCTCGAAAATTACCAACAGTATTCCTCAGGGTTCTTTATTAAATTTATAGAATAATGTACGCCGAACAGACTTCATGCCCGATCACATCCCCAGGGCCTCTTTTCAGCTACTCAGGTTCCTACGTCAAGTCCTCGTCCCTAAAGCCCAAACCCACACTAGACCCGAGTCACTAAACCCTCCCCCAGAAATCCTTAGCCCTAAAGAGCAGCTTGTTACACGTCCTGAACGGATCGACTTGCAAGCGTAGGGCTTCAAATCATTGAGTGTGGGCAGTTGGGGCAAGGGATGTAGGCTAGGGTTTAGGATTTTGGTTTTCAGAGACAGGGATTGGGGATTCGGGGGTGTGGGGTCTAGTCCAAGGTTTAGGCTGAGATGTAGCAAGTTTGCAGGGTTTCATGGGATGCGGAGCATAAGCTAGGCAACACAAAAGTCACGGTTCGTACCGGCCCTTTTTCCTTTTTCCGCATCTGGGGAAATGTGTTGCTTGCAGGTTTGGGTGATGTTTACTGCACTTGCGCTTTTGGGGGGGTCCCTTGCAAAACTACCCGCAGGCCCCAAAGTAGTTCCTTGTTGGGAGTACCCTACAGAATTCTATATATGAACCCCAAAAAGGAATTACTTTGGGGCCTTTAGGACATTCCGACGCCGAGTCGTGACATCTCAGGATCTGAATGCTTTCCGGGCGAGGCTAGGCTATGCTGTGATCTATTTTCCGGTTTGTTGATGTTAGAGGGTTCGATCTATGTATGTATATATATATATATATATATATATATATATTATATATACATATGTATATATATATATATATGTATACACATGTTTTTAAGTTATGAATCAGGGACTATAAGGGGGGATGGTTACTGCTGAAGTCGACTTCAGGGCTTTAGGGGTGCAGCATGCAGTCTTTACGCTTAGTGCGGTCCGACTGTGGTTTGAATGGTCGCAAGTTTCGGGCGATAGATGTGAAGTCGTTCTACTACTAAGTTACTAAGCCCTGAACCCGAAACCCTGAACCCTAAACCCTACACCAAAATCCCTAGACCCTAAACCCAAGGTTTTTCACCGCTGCCGCTTTGCTCGAGCCTTTAAAAACTTTTACTGCTGCGAGATTATTGCCTTCAGGCCGGCTGCGCATGATCTAGGTAGGCAACACAGAAGTCTACGGCTGAGTAGTTAGCGATAATGTCCTGTTAGATACTCCTGTTTAAGTCTATACTATGACATATCCCCACACCTTGCTAAGCCTGTGTTAAAGCCTTATAGCCCCTGTAACAACCCTGTCAAAAGCCTGTAGTCAAACAAAAACTTTGTCTATATATCTACCCTAGCAAGCAAACAGCGCAGCAACCCTATCCGAATTGTTGAGGCCACTATATGACAAAACCCTCAGATTGTTAAGGACCGTATAGATCCTGAACCTGAAACCCTATAAACCCTAAACTTAGGGTCCAAACCTTTAACCCTAAACCTTCTCATTGTGAAAGCCCCTACAGATGGGAGTCTCCGAAACTAGGGGACCCTAATAGAGTACCCTCAATAGTAGGATCCTTATCATAAGTACCCGAGAAAAAGGTACCCGTAGTTTTCGGCAAGTCCCAGATTGAGGCCCCTTTATCGGAGATGCTCCTCAGGGTCTCGGTTGTTGAGCCCAGGATCAGGGCAAGGCAAGCGTCCTCATTGGGTTTGGGCTTGGGCTTTACCCTAAGGCGCCATAGTAGTTCCTTTTTGGGAATACCTTATAGGATTCTAAATGTGCACCACAAAAAGGAACTACTTTGGGGCCTTAGGGTAAGGCTTCCGTAAGGGGTTTATGGGTAGTTGTCTTGTTCAACATACTTGCAAGGTGTTATCAAGCCCCATACTGAAACGCTAAACCCTAGGCGACCGGCAAGTGAGGCCCCCACGGAGAAACGGTGCACACTCAGCTTCAACACATAAACCAGACACTACACCCTGAACCCTAGGCACGACACCTGCGCCTGGAGAACGCTCCACCCGAAATACAAAAACTGCGTAATTACGCCTCATGGGTGTAGGGTTTAGGGTTGAGGGCTTGCGTATGAAGCCCCAAAAGTACTACTTGGAGGGTCGGGGGACTCAGTAACTGGTAATTTTAGGGACTTATAAGGACCATAACCCCAATTAGGGTCCCTTTTAGGGTACTTATAAGTCTACGTACTAACTACTTACTACCCCCAAGTAAGCCCTGAGCAACACTTTCATCGTTGAGGGCCACCAGTTGCAGCGATGGCAGCTGCCCGGATGCAGGGGTGCTACGGTTGATGCCTAGGGTTCCTTTAAAAGGATCTATATGGG